GCCCCCCGCTGGCTCCCCAGACCCCAAACCCGGCAGGTGTCCCCCGCGGCCCTCCCGGGACCCTCCATGGCTGGCGGCTGCTCCACGCCGACCCTAGGGTCCCCCAAAGACGTGCTGACTCCCGCAGAGCCCCCAGCTGGCGGCCATTCCCCTGGGCCCCCCGTCCGCCCAGCCGGGGACTGAGAGCCCCGCAGCGGGACAGACGGACAAGAGCCCCGCTGGGGGGGCTGTGGGACAGACGGACAAGAGCCCCGCTGTGGGGGCTGCGGGACAGATGGTCCGGGACCCCCCCAAGCGGGACAGACACACAGAGACCATCACATCAAGACAGATCTGTGGGACGGGTGCCTCATAGCGCCACGTCCTCTGCCCCAGGAGGACAGACGGACTCTGACTCCTCAGGGACAGCCGCCACCTCCTCTCGCACCCACCTTCGCTGCCCCACACTGTGTACGAGGGTCGGCAGCTGCCGCATGAAGCCACCCCCAGCTCCACCAGCCCCAATACGTGACACGGGGGCATCTTTAGACAGAGCAGGGCCCAGTGTTTGCATGTGCAGAGACCCCAGCTGCAAGGTCCCCCCTTCACTTCTCCATCCTCCTAGTAGGAAAGAGTCCACTGAGGCCCCAAGCTGATTTAGCATCAAACACATTTATTTCACTTTTATTGAATACAAGAACAGTGAGCACACACGCATACACCACCGAGCACTGAAAAGGAGTATGACCGAAGGGGGGAGAGGGAGAACAAGGGAAGAGAAAAGGAGAATTAGTGAAGGAACAACAGAGCGTTGCAGTTGGTTGGTAAGGTGCTTCTCAAATAAAAATAAATATTATTGTTATTATTGTTGCTGTTATTATTACTCATGCATTTGCAGGCCAGGTTTGGAATGAATTTGTGGCATCAGGTAAAAACAGGCACTCGTGTCTCCCACCCCTTCCAACAGAAAGGCCCCTGGAAGAAGACAAGCAGTGATCAGCCATCAGAAACAGCAAGGTGATGGGCAGGCTGGGGGAGCTGAGCCTGTGGGGGCCTCAGTTGTTGCTGAGCAGCAGAAACCCACACCTCTCCAGGCGAACAAGCAGTGAGCTTTTTTTCTTTTTTTATTCAAAGCTTTTAAACACTGCCACCCATTAGACACGCTGCGGAAGCCAGGGACTGGATCTGCTCACTCCAAACATAACTCCTTTCAGTCCAAGCACACATCAAATCTAACTCCGTAAGGCCACTAATTTTAACAGTAACCGACTTTGGAACTATACACAATGTCAAAAGCAAGTATCTAGTTTCACAGTAGCCTCTGGTGGGTTGTCAAGGTGCCAAAGCCAGGTGAGCTCCTCCAACTATGAACCACTCAGTGTGCTGATGAACATGAGCACTGTGTGCAGACCGTGAGCCCGCCACCAGCCTGCCTCGCTATCTGAAAGTGCCACTGCTGATTACAGCTGGTTTGGGTGTATTGAAAAAAGAAAAGATAAAAAAGTAGCCTCTTTGCAACTGCCTTAACTTTTTTTTGGCTGGGGGTCTGGTCTCTAAAGGTAGCTGAAGGTGCTCAGAGGGAAGCTGGGGAGACCCTCATGACCTGGCAGCATGGTGCTAGCCAGCAGCTCTGCCCGTGTCCCAAGCAGCCTGTGCTCACACCTTTCACGCTTGCAGGAGAAACCTCTCTGCCAGGAGAACAGACTTCACGGGGACATACTAGCAAACAACTGGTGAATTGTGGCTGCCAGGGAGCAGGCTCTCTGCTAGGACAGCAAAGGCGGTGAGCGGGGTCTGCCCACAACATCCGCGTGGTGCAGGCTCTCCTGCTCGCTGTCATCCTCCGAGACGTTGCAGGACCTGGCAAAACGCACCTATTTCTGGGCACCGTCTGTGTGAGAGGTGGGAGACTAAAGGCAAAATGGTGCAGAATCGTGGGCCCTTCTGTTTCCACAGGAGCTAGAGACGATTCCAAGAAGGAAACCCGTTTATTTCCTTTCCTTTCTGATTTTGGTTCCAAGTCTACCCTAACCGCCTGGTTCACAGTGTACGAGGCCCTGGGCTTGGCCCATGATCCTCTTCCAAAGGCAGCCGTAGGGGAAGCCTGTGGCTAAAGGCTGAGCTGGGATGAGTTGGGGGAAGGCAGCTCCACTGACATCTCCTCAACATGTGCCTTCTTATGCAGAGGGCTCTCTCGCCCAGCCTGGGATGGCAGGGACGCTCTGCACTGATGGAAACAGCACTGTCTCTCCAGTGCCCATCCCCAGGCAGGTTGGGGGAAGGGTTGCCATTGCCCCACCATTGCTGCCACCAGCCCTCATTGCTGCCACCAGCCTCGGGCAGCCCCTGCCATCACACCCTGGGCAGTGGGGGAGGCAGGTCAGGAACAACCTCTCTGCCTTCGACCCTACTACAAAGCTCAAGTAACTTCATTACTGGGATCCAGAAACAAAGCAAAACCACCCCAACCACCAGCATGGCTCAGTGGGCTGGAGAGGAGTGATGAACGCGGTCCTGTGGCTGCCATCTTGCTCCCAGCTGACTCCCATGCTCTGGGTGGGGGCCGGGGAGATGATCCTGCCTACAGCTGCCAGAGCCGCAGCCTCAACCTCCCTCCCTGCCCCTACAAGTCACCACTGACCTTCCACATCCAACCACCATACACTGCAGATCAGCCGCCGGGACATCTGTCTCTCACCCTCTCCCCTTCCCCCCCTAAAACAGCAGCAGCTGAAACCTTCCCCGTTCTCTTCTTGCAGGACTGAGAGTCCCACGTGTGATCTAAGAGTCTCAAAATACACCAACCACAGTCAATCAAATAGTTAATAATTTAAAAATGTCGTCATTATATTTACCAGCACTGTTGAATTATTTCAGTATTGTTCCCTCCCTCCCCCCTCGTTATATATAATAATATACATAACTTAAATGCACATCCATATGAAACCCTACAGGCTGCTTTTTTATAAATGAGAAACCATATACATATCATTTGTTTTGTTTGAAATTAAATCCATTCTTAAATACCTTCAGAGAACAAGAGGTTGGACAAGTGCACAGAGAAGAAGATAAGGAAGGGAAGGGGAAGAGTTAACAGAACCCCAAAAGATGCAAAAGAACCAGCATGGAATGAGGAGAAGGGCGAAACAACACTTGAGAATCGGAAAATAACTCTAAGGTAATAAATTCAATGGTTTTCTCTCTTCTTTCCAGAGGTGGGGAATGGTTTTGCTTCTGCTTGTGTTTTTTTAGTTCAGTTTGCTTATTTCTTGCTTTGTTGCAAAGCAGTTTTCCTTTCCATTCAGTGTGCAACAAATGAACTCATGATTGTGTATTCTTTAATGTAACATGCAAGATGGTGGCTTATTGTGTTGTTAACAATATTATTGTTGTTATTTTTTTTAACCTTATTTTATCACCAATCCTGTAAATTCTTCTATTTTTCTGCAGAGGGTTGGCTTTGTTTGTTGGTGGTGGTGTTTGCTATTCATTTCCAGCATATAGCAGCAGTGCAAGGATGCATTTTGTTTCCTGTTTTTTATATATATATATATATATATATATGTATGTATATATATATATAATATATTTGCTATTCCTTTTTAAAAATTTTTGTCTCTTGCCAAGAACATTTCAGCCAGGATGTCTATGTCTTGCTGACAAATCCAGCATGAAGGCTCCTTCTCCCGCTGTTCTCCAGGTTTGAATACAGATGCCAACTTCAATGAATATGTTGGTCAAGATTCCTGTACAAGGCAGATGGAAATGACCAGTCATGGGGTGCTGATTTCTTTGGCTATAAAAGGGGTCCTCTTTGTATGAGGCCACTGCACAGTAAATTTGCAAACACTTGGGGCCACAGTTTGCATTTAATTACCAAGACCTCTGGCAATTAGCAGGAACTCTTAATTTATTGGGCTGGTGTTGGTGCATGGGGGAGATGAGGATGAGTCACTGCTCCCTTATTTTAAGCCATTCAATTAAAACTGGGTGGCTCCCTAAAGTGATGCTGAAGTGTCTAAGGCTTGTTTGTTTGTACTGTGTGACAGGAAGTAAGATTAGACAGATGCAAGAGCCTCTTCTGACCTTCCAAGCTGCAATGGAGCTGGTCGCTTTTCCAAGCTTAAGAGCTGCCAATCAAACTCTTCATATGATAAAGAAACACAAAATCATATTTTCAAAGAGGCCTCTCAAAATGCACCTGCAGCCTGGCTGGTGACAGAGCTGCTCATACATTTTTCAGCAGTGAAGCTGCTTTCAGAAGCTCCCCCTCTCCTTCCCACCATGCTCCTCCGCCCCTCAGCTGCTCTGACACAGGGGTCTGTTGGGCTGTGCCACCACCCAAGGGCTGCAGCAGCCCAGCTGATGGGGAGCAATGGGGGCAGAGCGGGGGGCTAAGAGTGGGGCAGGAGTGAGTCCTCAAACCAGCTTTTGCCCTGAAGAAAAATGTCTGGGGCTGTGACTGCTTTGGGGCATCTGCAGGGAGGCACAGACCTTGTGTGCTGCTGCCCGTACCTGCCTGTGTATGAAAGGACAACCTGGGGATCTGAATGGGCCTAAAGAAACCTCTTTTTTTACAAACACTGCTCTGATACTTTGGACTGGCTTTGCAGAACCTGCAGCCAAGTTTCTCAGCCCATCCACAAAACTGGTATCACCAGGTCCTTTCTTCTTTACATGCAAATGACTCTGACTCCTCTGCTGAGCAAGGTGACATCTGCAGAACTGCTTCTGGTAGCATGGCACTGGCTTTCTAACCACAACCAGGTGGCCATGCCCAGAGCCACCATCACACAGGGACAGCTGGTCAGGAGCGGCCTCTCTTAGTGCCAAGGAGCAGAAACACCTACCAGCACCTGCAGCTGGTGGGGATCAGAGACACTTGCCCAGTCACATGCACCCCTACGCAGCAGGTATAAATCCTACCTGGTAACTTCACCTACCTGAGGTTTCTTGTCCCTTTCCTCTGGAGAAGGTTCTGTTTCTCTGTATACCACAGCTTTGGTTACCAGCATGTCGGGATGTTGTAGTTTTGCTTCTTTGATTGCTAAAGCCAGTGCCTAGAAACCAGAAGGATGAAAGCATTTGTTGTCACTTCCCTTAAATCTGGTACGTTGCTCTCAGCCAGACAGAACAGGTGGACAGAAAGCAGCTGGAGCCCACCACTGGGAAGCTTCATGCACTGCCTTTCTCTTGCTGTTTTTTTTCTGTAGATCTGCGCTATGTACCAGGCTCCCTAATGAAACCCAAGCAAAAGGAACAGCAGTAATTCTCTCTGCATGAAAAACCTAGAAAAATCTACAGTAATAATCTAATTATATTTATTATAATTCTAAAAATGTCTAAGAATTATTTTAGAGCATTTTAAATACTTTAGCTCTTTATTATTTCTTCTTAAACAAAAAATCCCAAAGGGATAGGCCACAGGAAAATGACCCCGTGGCCCTAGACATCTGTGTCAATCCCTTTTATTTTATCATAAAAGTTTGTCACTTTTTGTTCCTCTTTTACAGAGGCAGGTGTCTCTACCATCACTTGCAGTGAGTCAACCTGTAATGACACTGTGTTGGAAAGAGAGGAATAACCTGCATCACTTTGGAGTATTTTCACAGAGAAAGGGCAACTGGAAATGTATTTTAAGAAAATAAAAAGGTGATCCCATCACTGGTCTCTGTGTTGGGATGTAACCTTTACCACTGCTCCACTGGGCACTGATGGGAGCTGGGCTGGGGCTTCACACCGGTGCCACTGCACCCTGTGGGGACCTGCACTGCCAGACAGAGCTGGTAGGTTTGGGGCATCAAGGGCCAGGTTTTGGAGAGAAGGGCTAAACAGGCACAAGCCAGAACCAGAAGCGTGTGGCACTGCAGCTGGGGGCAGCCAGAGCCGGGCAAGGCCAGGGCATCCTGCTCCTACCTGGTCCTGGTCCACATCCTCATCTCCTGTGATGATGATGCGCTTCTCTATTCGGGTCTCGGAAAACCCTCCTTTCACAGTCTGCACAACAAGAAGGAAAGCACTCACCCACAGCTCTCTGAGAAGCCAGCTCCTGGTAGATGTAGCTCTGCCCATGGAGGAAGGACACTGCCAGAATTGCCTTAGGAAGTCCCCCCATAATTTAGCGTATCTCCCACTATGCTAGACTCAGTGAGTGGTGAGAACTGGCAAGACACAGCTGGTCACAGGTGGGGAGGAAAGCAAAAGGCCCAGGTGGCAGGTACTGAGTCCCCTCTTTCCTGCCCAGCTCCCTCACTGAGCTTCTGCTTTCATCTATGTGCGCTTAATTTGGGAATGAAATGGCCATGGGCGAGGTCCTCTGATGCAGCCTCATCTCCTTCATTTCCTACCATTGCTCCCTCTTGCCTGTGCCACTCCAGCTCTAATAAACCCAAAGCACCCCATGCTAACACAGCTCCCATCACTGACACAAGGCCAGATGCTCCAGCACTGTCGCTGTGGGCTTCTTGGGCCAGGGGGACCTGGGGTCTGGTTCTAGGTGCATTTCGGAACGCTCACCCCTGTTGCACAGGCAGGGACGTGCACGCACGCTGATCAGCCTAATTCAGAATCCCTCCCACCCATGCAGTTGGCTTCAGGAGGTCAGTGATGTTGCGTGCTGCTCACCTTGTCACCCCAGCAACTCCCCGCCCTCCCAGTCTACCAAGGAGCAGAGGTGGTCACAACACGTTCCCAGTCCCCACAGGTGGTAGGCAGGGGATGAACACTCGATGCCTGGCTGTCCCTGCCTGCAGCCAGCCATGCTCATCCCTGGCTGGATGGGACAGGCTGACCTGGGCACTGGGCACTGTGCTGGCTCACCATCCCCCACGGGACAGCATACACTTTTTTGCCTTGTAAGGAGAAGAGGGGCATTTTCTGCTGGACCAACCACAATACAAATCCACCCATCCTCAAATTCCAGTGGCTTGTGTCAGGTTGCCCCCTCTGGAACTGCTCTTACCTTGGTAACGTGGGTAGTGGTAGAAGTGGAGAGGGTTTCCGCAGTGGCACTGAATATGCTGGTGAGCACTTCCTTCCCTGCGGAGCCGCTGGTGATCTGCAGGACAGAGAGCAGCAGCATCAGTGGGGCTGCCACAGGGGAGCCCCCAGCACTGGCTCCTGAAGAGCTGGGACCTTCCCAATGGCATGTACCTACTCAGCCAAGCAACAGAGGGAAGCAAGTGGCAAGGAAAAAAAAAAAAAGACACTGTGCTGTGCTTCCAACTGGACCTAGTTTTTTGGGGGGGCAGGGAGAGGTTTTCAAGGTACCCCAAGCCCAGAGCCCCAGGAAAGGGCCTCTGCAGCAAGGAGATGATTTCATGGCTGCATTTCACAGAATCATCTCAGTTGGAAAAGACCCTGAAGCTCCTCCAGTCCCAACCATGAACCTCACACTGACTGTTCCCAACTCCACCAGATCGCTCAGCGCTGGGTCAACCCGACTCTTCAACCCCTCCAGGGATGGGGACTCCCCCGCTGCCCTGGGCAGCCCATTCCAACACCCAACAGCCCCTTCTGCAAAGAAATCCTTCCTCAGAGCCAGCCTGACCCTGCCCTGGGCAGCTTAAGGACATTACCTCTTGGCCTGGCACTGGCTCCCTTGGTTCAAGAGACTCATCCCCCCTCTCTGCACCCTCCTGGCAGGGAGCTGTAGAGGGCCAGGAGGTCCCTCAGCCTCCTCTTCTCCAGACTAAACCCCGCAGTTCCCTCAGCCGCTCCCCAGCAGACCTGTGCTCCAGACCCTACACCAGCTCCGTTGCCCTTTTCTGGCCATGCTTGAGTCATTCAATGGCCTTTTTGGGGTGAGGGGCCCAAAACTGAACCCACTCAGCGAGGGGCGGCCTCACCAGTGCCGAGCACAGGGCTCAGATCCCTTCCCTGTCCCTGCTGGCCATGCTATTGCTGACACAAGCCAGGATGCCATTGGCCTTCTTGGCCACCTGGGCACACTGCTGGCTCATTATCAAACCCCCCAGGTCCCTCTCTGACTGGCAGCTCTCCAGCCACTCCTCCCCAGGCCTGTAGCCCTGCTGGGGGTTGTTGTGGCCCAAGGGCAGCCCCCGGCATTTGCCTTCAGTGAAACTCCCCCAGTTGGGCTCAGCCCATGGCTCCAGTCTGTCCAGCTCTCTCTGCAGAGCCTCCCCACCCTGGAGAGATCAACACTCCCACCCAGCTGGGTGTCATCTGCAAACTGACTGAGGGTGCCCTCGATCCCCTCATTTAGATCATCAATAAAGATGTTAAAGAGTTTCGCTCTTCCCCCTCTATCCTCAAGCCACCCTAAGTGCAGAGCTCTCAGCCTGCTTCTAGCTTTGTCCATCCCGCTTTGCACAGCAGGGATTGAGAAGGGTGTGCTGGTGCTCCCGGCTGCACAGAGTGACAAGCCTGGGGCACCACGTGGCATTTGGCCAGGCCTGACTCCATCAAAACAAGGCAACAGAGCAGAAGAACATTTTACAGAGGAAGGCCTGCTGCTGGGCAGGGTTGCTGATGGCCATGACCTCCACTGGGAGTCAGAAGACTTGGTGTGTGGCCTTGGGTGGCCAGGCAGAATACCCAGGGCTAAAGATATCTCAGCCTGCTATGTGACTTCACCAGGGACTGGGCTTTGTTTTAGGAATTATTCTCTCCCAGAAGACGCTCAAGGTACATATCTGGCACAGGAAAAAGGCCATGGGTAGGGGTTCCCCTGCCATCTTGCTCCCCAACCTTCAGAGCATCCTTTTGCTTCTCCCAGTACCAACACACCAGCCAAGGGTGTTGGGAACATGGAAGGGGACCCTGTGGAACCAACTCCAGCCCACCCCCAGTCCCCACAGGGCCGCCTCCCTCCCTCCCTCCCATTTGGCCTGGCTGGTGGTGCCACATCCCCCTCCTCACCGGCGAGAGGGAGCGAAGGTCTGTCGTGGGAACAGCCCCTTTCCCAGCCTTGGTGCTGTGGTCCTGAAAGAAAAGCAGATGATCACGTTGGCTCGGATGCAATGTGGGGGCAAACAAGGCAGGTCACCCTCTGCAGATATCCCCAGGGGGGAAGGGTTCCCCCCCAGCACAGCCAGCCCCAGTCACCCTCGCCGGAGCAGAGGGACCTCAGGGCACAGCGGGTCCCCCAGCACTCAAGGGGTCAGCCCTGCTTACTGAGGTCGCCAGTGCAGTCTCTGCGGTGCCAGCATGAGCAGTGGCTGTGGTGTCCCTGCTGCCCGGGGTGCCTCCTTCCACCTGCCAGGGCAAAGGAAACCTGGTGAGCCTGGAGGTGCCAGGGAAGGGGTGACACTCGCAGGGATGGTGCGGCCATCCCTGCTGCCAGAGAAAGCCAGGGAGGGCCATGAGGCCATGGACACGTGCAGTGCAGCAGGTATGGTGGCCATTGCCCTCTGGAGATTGTCCCCATGTGCCAGTGCTGCCCAGCAGCACAGCAGATGGAGCCAGGGACACACACAGAATATCTCTGGGTGGGCTTTGGTTTGGTATTTTGGGGATTCCAGCAATAAAAGGGTGATCAGAGGCCCCCTAACCCGCCCTCCCAGTGCTGCTGCCCGAGGACAGGTTTTGCTGGACTGAGGCTTGGCAGAGCCATTGGGGAGCAAGGCCACAGGAGGATGTAGCCACCATGTCACCTGGGCTGCCTCTGTGGTGCTGACCTGGTGGGGAGCAGAGCCATCTGCTTCAGGCTTCTTCATGCCTGGGCCCAGGCTGACGGTCACAGCATCCATTTTTGGTGCTGATGACTGCAGAGGAAACACAGCAAGTCAGGCACTGGGGTACGATGCCAACAGCCCTGAGTATCCTTATGCACCAGCCCCCATGAGCAGAGCATCTCTGCCCCACTCCTTGGCAGGTGCCACACGTTTGTTGTCCTTCAAGCCGTTATGCAAAGCCCTACCTAGGCAAAGAGCAGAGGCCAGGCTGCTGCCCTGGGCAGGTGGCCACCGTGCAAAGGGCCCTGTGTGACTGACATACCCCAAATCAGACTTGATGTTCTGTCCCTGGGGTTTTCAGGGATTTTTTTGGATACAGACACCATGGGTTATGTCACACTGGTCTTCAAAAGGTGAGTGACACCCACCAAATACATTTCACTTGTGCCCTGCAGCAGGTTTATGATCTGCACCAGCTCCTGGCGGCTGTGGTTATACCCAGGGAGTCAGAACTTCAGGGGAATGGAGACAGGTTTTCAGCGCTTCCTTGCTACAGGAATCTGGAGCTTCCAAGCACTCCTGCACAGGGTCTGCTTCGCCAGTACTCAGCATTCCTGAGCCAACAGCCTCCCCTGCCCAGCGATGGCCATGGGGCATGGTGGAGCTCATCATCCATGTCCACAGTCCCACTGTGACCCTGCATCCCATGGCACAAGTTTTTCAAGGTTAGTTCAGAGAAACCTCCCTCTAATTCTGCAGCTTTATCCTGGCTCCAGGTCTGGACTCACCCTGGCAGCTCCAGGCAGCGTTGGGGACTTACCTGTCAGGGCTGGAGGGCTGCCCCAGCGCTGACTGGGCAGGAGATGGCCCTGGCCTGGCACAGAGGCAAGGCTACATTTCGTCCGAGCTGAGGCTGGCTTTACTGTCCTCTCCCTGTGGCATAAACTCAACTTCCACATGCATGCTGCATGCATTTGTCTTCGCCCTGTTATAGTCACTCCCAGCACAGGAGTGACCCTCCACGAGCTTTGGAAAGTCTCCCACAGGCTACTCTGTAAATCCCTCCCAGACCTAGCACGACCAGAGAGATTAGTTGGCAGCACATTTCACTACACAAACTGGTCACTGACTTCATGCAAAACACAAGGACAGAACTGTTGGTTAGTGACACGTGCCTTCCCAGCTGCTGACATGCTGTAGTGGTGCAAGGGACAGGGTGGGCAGTCAAACACAGGGGATTACAAGATGACGATGACTTCTTATGGTTAGCAGCACGCAAAACACACGACATAGCCATGCAACAACAGACGACAGTGTGCGCCAGGGGAAAACAGCTACAGCGGACAGGAACCTGGGGATGTTTGAAAGCTAGCATGCTCTTCCAAACCAGTGTGGGAGTGCACATCAGCGAGTAATACTGGCCACCAGGACAAGGAACATGGAGGCATGATGCACTGAGACAGTCTCAGTGGAATGGTGTCCCTGTATACCTCTAGATGGGAGACATCTGGGCTGGGTTGGGAGCCCTTCTCCCCGCCTTTGACATCCTCTTCCAGTCCAGGAATTACTTTGTCAGTGTGCTGGAAGGAAACCAGGCCTTCGTCTTCTGTTTCACTTTTGTCCTTGTCCAGCTCAGGCAGGCTCCGGGAGATGTCCTCAAAGGCTGTGCCATGGAAGTCACCAATAACTGTGAAGTCCACCTCTGCTTCCAGGCTGGAGGTTGAGCTGACCGTGATGCTGGAGCACTTGCGCTCGATGGCCAGGTGGTTGTCCTTCAGAAAGACCGAGTCCTTCTCCTGGTCCTGCTCCTCGTCACCAGTGTCACTCTCAGGAGCTCTGTGCCGAGGTGGCTTAGCTTTCTCCTCAGCGCCCTCCCTCAAGCCCGCTCTCTGAATGAGACACAATGGCGGAGAGAGACGGAGACAGTGAGCACCACACGGCGTGGCAGCGCTGGCAGTGCCGACGGGGCAGAGGGGAGGAGGAGGAGGAGGAGAAAGAAGGCTGCAGCAAACATCACAGAGTAGAGTCAAACACAACTCAAGCATGGAGACTCAAACCTTTCTGACAGCAGCGACTTTGCAGGAGTGGAGTGGGGGAGAAGTGTTATTCAATCTGATTTTGCCAAAAGTGTATTGGTAATTAATCATCTCACAAAAGGGTCAGTCACACAGAAAAGCTTGGCCAGCTTGGGAGGCACGTCCGTGCACCCAGTGGAAGCAGATGTATGCAAAACAACAGGTCTGTTAAGAGACATTCAGAAACAGCTCAGATGCCAGTGCTATCGTATGTCAGTAAGGTTGGGCACTCAAAAAAAAACCCCAAAAACAAACGAAAGGAAAGAAAGAGAGAAGAGTTTGAAAGAAAAGGGCCCCACCAGCCACACGTGGTGAAGGAGAAGCGAAGGAGTGTGCCAATTCCACTGAGCATCTGCGTGGGCCCTGCGGAGCACCACCCCAGGGGGAGGAGGACCAGCCATCCCCCAGCCCTGCATGACAGGGCAGCTGCCTGTGCTGGGGAGTGAATCTGCTCCCCTACCACAACACCTCCCCTCCAGAGGCCTCATGCAGCCGGGGGTGAGTCTTAGGGATGAGCTGGTTGAGTGTTTGGTCAGTGTAATTGACAGCACGATCAGAGCCAAGGGATGACCTCCCTCCTCCCTCCGTTAGCTCTACACCAGACATGGACATACCTCTCAACTCCACCATCAGAGGGTACATTTGTCCTCGCCACACTTTGCCATGAAGCCATGGGAAATCTAGATCCATGCTGGACTTTGCATCTCACTCTAGGCAGCTCTCCCTTAGGAACAGCTCTAAGCCCACTGATGCCAGAGGAAACCCACCTCCTGAACTCTGGTCCAAGTGTTTGCAGCCAGAGCCACCCCTGCAATGGGCCAGGCTGTGCCAGCACAACCTTCCCTTGGCACTGCTGGGAGGTTGAGAGGTATGAGAAACAGGGTGTCAAAAAAACTCAAGAGGAACACACCTGCATACATGTTTTCGTGTGTGTGTGTGTGTATGTATAAATATATACATAACAGCTCTGCAATGGGGAGAGGAGCTGGAAGCACACAGCCCTCAGCTGGTTAATGTGAGCTTTCACACTACAGTAAGAAGCAGTTAGTAAAACAGCACTGAGACCTGGAAGACCACTGGAACAGCAGTCTTTAAATTCTCTTCTTTCAGGCTGGATTTTATTGACGGGTGAGATAAATCCTTTTCTTCCCCACCTGGTTCCTGAGATTTGCTCTGGATTAGAGAAAATGGTTAGTTGTAAGGAAATGAACTCTACAGGTGCTGATCTAGAGCTTACAAGAGCGAAGAAAGCTATTTCATCATCCAGCCACCAGCTTGCTGAAGACAGGGGAGGGTGGGTGAGGCTGGCGAGCTAAGCAAGAAGGGATATCAACATAAGAAATGCAAGGGTGAAGCTGGAAGCGTGGGCACGCTGCTGCTAGGTGTGTGTGCGTGTCTGTGACAGTCGCAGCTCCTTCAGCCACCCCCCGTCTCCCTTTCCTGCTCCTGGACATGAAGCTTGGGTGCCCGCTCTTGGGTTTAGCGAGCGGCATTCTCCAGGGAGCCAAAATGTTGGGGGGTTGGGGTGGGGGGGTGTCACAAAACAGAAGCTAATGAACCAACTGGCCAGCGGGTCTGCATTCAGCAAATAAGCCTGACCACACACACACATAAAAGGACAGGGGATGCAAAGCGACTGCTGTCAGTCAATGGATGTGTGAGGAGCCACCGAACATGATAATAAAGAGCCACACAACATGCGCATGAACTTTCCGTCCGGACAGTTCATTGGAAGAGTTACCACGGCTTCTGCCAGTGTGAGTTCGCAGCCAGAGTCAGGGGAGGCCAGGTCAGCACTGTCTTCTCCTTCGTGCTCCGGGTCAACAGAAACATCTTCCTTCAGAGAGAGAGGCTGGGAGGCGTCTCCCAAACCAGCCCCTTGCCCAAGGGCCAAGGAGCCCACACTGGATGCAGGTCCCACCGGAATGACTGGTGCTGCAGGTGCTGAGGCAAGGCCTGTGTTCAAAACCATATCTTGTGCCAGACCCATCTTCCCCCTTGCTTTTGCTGATGTCTCAGCTTCAGGCACATGCTCTTGTACCTCCTGGGCTGCCCTTCTCTCCGCTTCGCTTTGCTCGAACATCTTAATCTTAGAGGCTACTGAGGTTTTCCTGTAGCTCTCGCTGTCCTGCCAGCTACCTGGGGCCACAGTGACATCTCCATGCTCCTCTGATACTGGTCCTGTCCTCCCAGCCACACACATCAACAACCCAGACTCTGTTTGATGTGCCCCACTGCTCACATTCAGCTCTCCCCCACCTTCACAGATCAAGGTAGAGAGTCGGTATGTCTTGCTTCCTTGACACAAACCTGCTACAGGGGTGTGGGAGTGTGGGACATCAGCAGCTTCTTTGGGAGGAGACTTATCCTGCGAAGGATGCCCCAGAACACGGTCACTGTCCCTGGTGGTTTCTCCTACTGTAGGGCTCCTGCCCTGCAGATCTTGTCCCACATTAAACTCTAAGTCCCAGGATGGCTCTTGTCCTTTGAGATCTGCAGTGTGGAGCAGCCCTCTAGCCACAGAACCCTCTTGGGGCAGGTCTCTTATTATGGCCTCAGTCTGTTCCTCTGATTCTTCTGCCTTGGGAGGCAGCTCTTCCAAGCAAAGGCTTTTCTCAGGGGACAGTTCTTCCATCCCACAGCCTTCAACTCTGGTCAGCTTCCCTGATGTGGGCCCTATGTCCTGGGAGAGCTCTTTTATCATGGGCTTCTCCTCCTGGAGCGGCTCTTCTGTGGCAGGAACTTTCCTCTGGGTTGCCCTCACTGTGACAGGGTCCATGTCCTGGGCCACCTCCCCTGTGGCTGAGTCTCTGACCTGGATCAGCTCTGCTGCAGCATCTGAGTTTTGGGGTGGTCCTCCTGCAACAGGACTTGCACCTTGGTGTAGTTTCCATGCAGCAAAGCCCATGTCTTGGGGCTGTTCTTCAGACTCAGGATTGGTACCTCTGGGTATTGTCACTTCTGCTACAGGGCTGATGTCCTTGGGTGCTCCTTGGCTGACTACAGGGCTTGCGTCCTTGCGTGCCACCTCCACGGAGGGGTTCACATCTTTGGGTATGCCCACATCTCTTACAGGGCTGGTGCCCCGAGACAGGTCTCTACCCTCAGGCTCAGCACCTGGGGCTAGCTCTGCAGGGTCAGGGCTGGACTGCTGGGGAAAGGACACAGGGGTGGGAATGCTGGGTTTATCCCCTTCCAACCCTGCAGTGGCGTGAGGGTGGCCCTGCTGAGGCACAGCTGATGGAGGTGACTTGGTCTCTATCTCTTCCATCTGAAGAATCTCTTTGGCACTTTCCTCCTTGTCACCACCTGCTCCAATTCTTCCCGAGAGCCCCAATGCTGCTGTGCTGAAGTCCAGGCTCTGCACTGGGCTCCCTCTGTGCTCCTCAGCCTTGTGGCCATCCCCTGCCAGGCCACATGGCTTCAAACCTCCCATTGGGCTTTGCAGATCCACCTCCTCTGGTCCCACCTCTTGGGACCACGGCAGGGCTTTGCCTCCCTTGAGTGCTTCACAGCCTGTCAGATGAGCAGATGCTTTCTCTTGGTGTAGGGACAGCCCTTCCTCCCACCCTGAGGTGGGACATCCTGTCCCGGGCTGCTCTGGTGCTTCAGCAGGTTTTCCAGACACTGCCCTGTGTTGCTGACTGGCTGAGGAAGAGGGTTGGAACCCTTCTGCCGCAGGTGCCGCATGCCCAGATCCCTCCCTGGACACGTTCACAGGGGCTTCTGGTCTCTCCTCCAAGCCAAGCCATCCACTAGTCTCCAAAAGCAGGTGTGCTTTACTATCCTTCTCCTCTCCCTCTGGATCTCCTAAGTAGATGATCCTCTGGGTTGCAGAAGTCTCTGAGCTGTCATCACTAGCCTTCACTTTAATTTTAACGAGCTCTGTGCCTGTGGCTGGCACTCTGGCCTCCTGCTTCCTGGAGGCTGCAGAAGAACACTGCTTGGAGATCACCTCACTTTCTCCCTGGGGAGGCTCTGGCCCCAAATTATTTGCCCTTTGCCTCTCCTCAGGCTGCTGACATGGTTTGGGCAGACCTGGCTCACTGGTGGTTGCTTCCTCGCTCTGTTCTTGGGGCTCCTCCTCTGTGCTCACAGCTGGCAGGCGCTCTGCCTCCTGTCTGGGCTCCCCGCTGGTTTCCTTTTCATAGATCTCATCCTCCCAGACAGACTCAAAATCCTCTGGACTAGCAATCATTTTTGCTCTTGTCCGGGTATCCAGGGCTGCATCTGCTGGCTCTTCCTGGCCTGCCATTTCCTTGGCTTTCCCTACTGCCATCTCCACTTTCGATATGCTCTCACTCATTTTCACCTCTGAAGTACCTGCATGTGTTTCTTCTTTCTTGACTCCCAGAGCTTTCTTTAGAGCTACTGCTTCCAGCCTAGGAGTTTCTCTCTCTATAAATACCCAATGCTCCGAGCCCTGCATTGCAATTGGAGCAAGAAGAGTTAGCATCAAACATACTTTACCTAACAGCTGATGACTGCTGTCATGAGTTAGAGAAAGCTGATCTGCCTCAGACAGGACTGTCTGAATGATTACTATTATTCATGCAAGAGTTGAGGTAGGGTCTATACAAAGAGCCTGGCAACTCGCTGATGGAGAGAAGTGACTGAAAATAAGGGGTCTGATGCTGTGACGGGGACTGAGATGCTCTATCCTCTCCAGGGACCACTTTTTGGGTGGTGGCTCACTGACATACCTGCAGTATCTGCAGGTTTCTTGGAAGTACAGAAGTGGGAGCAATGCTCCCAGCAGACGCATTAGCAACCATCAGGGTTATCTCTCATGAGGCAAGGGAATGCAGCTGGTTAAACCCAACGGGGACTGCCTGTCTGACTCCTGTTTTCCACTAGCTCTAGCAATTTCCATGAGCAAAGGGTGAGATTTCATTGTAGGCAACAGTCTCTGTTTTGAGTAGATTCACTCTCAGCTTCATCCATGTGCCCTAAGACTACACCAGGAGCATGAGAAAGAAAAGAAACCACCTTTAGGCATGAGAAAGGCCCTTTCCCCTTCCTACCAGATGCTGCAGCTCAGATTCACTCCAAAGTCTGTCTTTCCTTTCCCGATAGCCAGGGAAATCTCATCAGAAGCAATTATTTAGCAGAGGTTTGTAGCAATGCTGAAACCAAGTGGTTCAGAAAATGTAACCTGTAAAAGGTTACCTGTGAAGTGTAAAAGAAGACCCTGGGCTTGGCAGCTGAGACAGCTAGGGGTTCTGCAGCAAGGATCAAGCAAAGATTTTGGAGCATCCCGCAGCAAGGATGCGGTGGGTATGTAATATATGCCACAGTGTATCTGCAGTGCTGCACATGGGAGGATGCCAGGTCCCTGCTACTGTCACAGCTTTGTCCTGCGAGACAGCTAAAGACTCCACAAGTGACAAGAACAAAGCACTGCTAAAATCCAACCACTTCTGGAACAGAAGGTAGAAAATAACTCATGACAAGACAGCAGCAGGAAAACACTTGTGCTGAGGAAACTCAGCAGCCTCCCCAGCCATCCTACTGCAGGCAGCACACACGAAGGGCAACGCTGCAGGCACAGTCCTGTGGAGGTGGGCACAGGGCTGGCTCTGCCCATGACACAGGCTGCCGGGGCACCAGCCTGCGGGCAGAGACAGCGTCACTTCTGCAGGCTGGGCAAGACTGACCTGCTGTGGCACCAGGATGCACTTTGGCCCCAGAGAGCGGGGGGGACTGGTTGCCTGCTCTCTGCTCAAACTAGGAAAAATAATCCATGAAAACGTGAGCCATGCCCCAGGCAGGGGTGTCAGGGTGAATGTTTGGAGCAGTTGCACTCAAAATGGAAACCTAATAACTGATATTGAATAAGGGGAAACAGGGGAGCAGATGGAAGCAGAGTGAGAAGGAAGGGAAAAGAAGATGAGATTAGAGAGAGAGAAAAGACGAAAACTGATTATTAGTGGAAGGGCTTCCACAAGGAGGGGAATCAGAAACTGGTGAAAGCCCCATGCTGCTGCCTTCCTCATCAGGTGCCAAAGCAAGCAAAGGTCCCTAGGCACAGTGCCCCAGGCCTTGCCCGGGCAGCACACACCCCTGCCCCCCTGCCATGGGCTCTGGCAAGAGCATGGTCGCCCCCTGAAAATCCCCCAGTGAGCTCCTGGGTGGGAGGCTGCCCACACGTCCAGCCCACTGCAGGCCCTCTGCGAGAACGCTGAGCCGCCTGAGCTCAGAGGTGACTGCAGGCTCCTTGCGCTGCTGGCAGGGACAGCCACTGCGGTGGCACGTGTGCGCTGCAAGCCATGCCACACACACAGCAGTAAGGGCACCCTCCTCCACAGATGGAAGACAGACCCCTGCCAGGGGCTCTGCCAGGGCACCTGCACCCGGCCACAGCCAGGCAGTCCCGTCTGGAGGAGCAGCTCTGCAGGAGACCTGTCCCATGCCAGCTCCCCACAGCATCACTTGCACAAGCCTCTCCGATATCCCTTTACCCTGCACTCTCAAGCACCATCTGCTCTCCAGGCCCCTTCCTCCACAGCAGCCTCCAATGACAGTTTTATTTCTTCCTAGTCCATGGAAATCACAAGAGGCAGTTGGTGACTGCCAGGTTGCACCTAGGCTTTTCACAGTTGAGGCTGACCATGAAAGCAACATTATCACTAACTTGGCGGCTGCATTCAGCCTGCCGGGAAGCCCAGGTTGGTCTCTGACATTCCTTTAACACCCGTCTTCCCATTCAGTAGCAATGCTTGTGAGCAATTCAACCAGAAGACTGATTACTTTCCTGAGGGAACAGGGGCTTCTCATTGCTGAGCCCTTTCCGCAGCCAAGGCAAAGACAGACAGGTGGTGAACACATGTACAAATCTCTTTAGTGAAGCCCTCTCGTCCCCTTCTCTGGCCACAAACCAGAGTTCTGTGGAGGAGACCTTCCCTGGACAAAAATGATGAGATTCTTCAGGCTCCCTTCTCTGAGTTAAGGCTTGAGATATATGTTGTAGATCAAAAAGCCTTAACACAAGTCTTCTGAAGCCTGGAACAATGTGTTCTTCCATGGCAGGACCTCTTAACCAGTAAGGAAAACCCAAAAGCTTCAGGTTTATTTCCAAACCAGTTTCCTTTGCCTCAAACTTTGTTGGGATGAACACAGCCCACTCCAAGGGAACTGCTCTGTGGTGTGATCTGAACTCTGGCTCAATGCCAGCTCCAGCCACAGCTCTAGCTCCACAGCTAACGGCAGCCCTTGTGTCTCCAGAGCTTGAGGACTCAGGGATGTTCAGAGCAAATACTTGAGTATGTCCTCCAGGAAAGAAGAGAGTTTCTGGAGCTTTGGAGATCAGCAGTCTGGCAGGACTGTGTGCCAGTCCTGTGTGCCAGAGTGTGTGCCAAGGCAGGAGCCAAGTCTAAGAAGTGATGATGCTGGGAAGGGTCTGTCCATAGAGCAACCTTGACTTCCCAAGGGATAATTTACTTTCACACTTCCCCCCTGACAACACATCTGCTCTAGGAACAGGAGCATTTGGGAAAGCCATTTTCCCTGTGGCCTAAGCATCACAAGAGAGAGTAAGCTGGTAGAAAGGAAAGAAATGATGGCATAGAGCAGAGACAGCCTTCTGCCCCTGTCAACAAGGCCCTTTGGCATCCATCAATGTCCCTGCCACCAGAGAGGAAAGCATGAGCTTCATGAAAAGGAGGGGAGAATGAGTGAATCTGAGACAACAGACTGAGTTGCTTTGTCACCCAAAGCCAAAGAGATTCCTGTCATCTCCCAGCTCAGCATTCTGGTCCTCCAGCAGGAGTGAGGAAGCTGGAGACGCGTGTCACTGGGGGTGACTGATATCCCAACCTCAGCGGCTCTGAAGCTCATGAGCGCTGAGGGACTTTCTGGCTGAGCATGATGAGAGCTCCAAGCTCTGCCTATGTGCTGTCCTCATGTCATTACTCTCTCATGGCCATGAATTCCTCCCCTGCTACCAGAGGCCAGGGGGGTACAAGTTCTCACATATCAACTGATGAGTCTCAGCCACTAATGCCTGGAGAGAAATCTTGGCACCTGCACCCCAGCGCAGCCCTGGCATCCCAAGGGTCTGTGGAGGGCTGAGGGGAAGACTGTCCACATCAAGAGATGTGTGTGCACCTCAATTCTGCTGTTTCTGTCCTCTGTCATGTAAATACTGGCACGTAGAGGGTCCCAGCATCGATCAGGAGATGCACTGCAGAGCCCAAGCTTCACTGAAGGTGCCTGTACCCTTGCTGAAGCCTGAGGCTGTGCTAAAGCCCTCACTCACCCCCACACTGCCTCCTAGGGACACGTGCTCCAGCCAGCCCAGGTTCAGGTTCAGCCTTGCTGACATTGGCAACTTCTGCACTAAGGGAGATGACAGGGAGCAAGAGTGGGACCAGCCTCGTCTGCCCCCCTGCCTGAGGCTCCTGGCTCCTGCCTCCTGCTCCGCTGTCTTCCCTGGGGGCACTCAGACAGGACATGTATCCCAGAACTGCTGAGCACCACACTGCAGTGTGGCTGAGCAAACCACACCAGAACCAAGTCTCAAAGACTATTTTCTTCTGCTCAGTAGTATTTCCTCCTGGCTGTCCTGGGAAACAACCACCATCACACGAGATAAACCCTGCACGCAAGCAGTGCTGAGAGCCCACATTCCTCACCCGTGGGCACTGCACAAGGACATGGAGGGTAGCATGACCCAACTTTGCACAGGCATTAAGTCCCACATTTCTGATGCCTCCAAAGATGCCCTATTTCAGGGTGCCTGGGCTGGAGAACTGCAGCCAAAGTGAAAGCACAAGGGATCGCTGAAGACAGCTTGTGGCTGCCTGTTTGCTTGCACCCACAGAGTACCTGTGCCATAGGGTCAGCACTGGCCTCCAGCATGGCCCCCTCACCCAGCACACAGCCAGGCTTGGGGGTGCACATCAGGGCTCCACTGGAAGGTCCCTGTCCAGACCCTGTCTCACAGCCCAGAAGGAACAGTCAGGGGAGCAGATTTCAGCAACAGCCCTGTCCTGGTGAGGGATCCTGCCCATCGCTGGAGAGGGGACCCACCCAGGGGGGCCAGCGATTGGCTCAGGCTCTGCTCAGAGGGCAGGAGCCACCTTGGCAGGCCAGAGGGCCCCATGGGGGGGAAACGGTGAGAGAGAAGGGTGGGAAGAGGAGGATGGTGACAACCTCAGGAGAGGAGACAAGGCTTTTCTGCGTGAAAGACTCCATGCTTAGGGAAGCTCCATGCTCAGATGCAAGATCGTCTAGGGTGTCCTCTTCCATCGTCTGTGCCAGCATGGAAACCCCAGCACCCACAGGGAAAGAGAGAGAGAGAGAGAGAGAAAGAGAGACAGAGAGAGAGAGAGAGCACATGAGAAGGAATGAAGGAACAAATGGTGGGTAGGTGGATGGGTAAATGGATGGCTGGGTGGATGGATGAACAGAGGTCACAGCTATGCCAGCTCTAGATGCTCCATTTACAACTCTGCACTTCATGTATTTGCTTGTAAAAGAGATATGGGGTGAAGTCCCTCTTCCTCTTCCCAGCTCAGTGCTTTGATGAGGGGCTGTGAGTTCACCTCTGCCCAGGTCACCCTGCAGCCCCAGGTCTCTGGTCAGTGCTGGGGACCAGCAGGCGCATGTGCACATCACGAAACCCCTGCAGAGAGCCCCTGGCCAGCCGCCCTGCACCACGCACCCTCCCCACAGCCCAGGCCCACGGCCTCACTTGCTTTCTGCAAGACTGTCCCGAGAGGAAGCCAGGGCAAAGCGGACCCCACACATGGCACCCACCCTGTCCACAGCCATGCCCACGGGTGCGGGCACAGGACAGGCTCCAGAGTCCCCACAGGGAGAGGAGAGCAAGCAGAGAGGGTCCCTGGCAGGGAGAGGGCATCCAGGCTGGGAGCAGGGATGCCCTTGCCACACACTGCCTGTGCTGAGCCAACCAGGAACCCAGCACCACAGAGCACCCAACTGTGCCACATCCTCGCACAGCACTGGGGGCTCTGCGTGTCCCAGCAGCCCCAATTCCAGCTCCCCAGGTGCTTTCCTTTCACACTCACGGCCCCACCGCAAAGCCAGCAGGAGGAGAGGGCATGCGTGCAGGATGCCAGCACGGCACTGCTCACCCCTCCACTTACTCCCACCACCCAGGTCCCAGCAGGTGAGAGCACCATGGGTCACCTCTGCAAAGCTGCCGCATCCTGCTCTGCTGAGGACACTCCCTGGGCCAGAGCTGCACCGAACACTGCCATGTAGCAGCCCAGCTGGGACAAGGGGTGAGGAAAGCCCTATCCCATGGGCCAACAAAGCCACAACCCAACTCTCAGGTACACTCCCAAAACACAGCCCTCAGAGAAGGATGAGAAGTGCAACTCCATGCAGTGTCTGAGCACAAAGGGACATCACTACCAGGAATGTGAAAACGGTTAGCTCCTTACAAAGCTTAGAGACAATAGCCTGGCCAAAGGCCTCCTCCCTCCACCCCGTGTCCCCAGCATGTCATTTCCACCATGCTGTCCCATGGTAGCACAGGAGGCAGAGATCCAAAGCCCAATAGCTGAGGAACATCTTCACGCAAACAACCTGATCCCCTCTATAAGAGAAGCAGTGGAACAAACCTCGCTGGCCTTTTCTGGGGTTCCCTTTGGTGTTTCATCTTCATGCCTGGGTGAGGAAGAGGCTGGCGAGGAAGGCAGCCTCCTGTCCCGGTCCCTGTGAACCAGCTTGCTGTTAGGCTCCTTCAGGGTCCGTTTCAGTTCATTGATGCTGGCCTGATGCTTCAGCAAAACATCTTCTGGCTTGTCTAAAAACTTGGGGAAGGAGAGATGAAGAGAACTATGATTAAAGCACCGGCCAAGGCAAAAGAGATGAGTGGGGGCACTGGGAGGGTTTGCTTCACACTGGAATTTAGGGTCTCAAAAGCCAAATGAACAGCATGTCAGAGCACCCTGATCTGCAGTTCTCACTAAGACCATTGCAGGGAGCAGCAAAAAGGCAGTACGTAGCTGAACGCGCGTGGCAGGCTTCCCCCCCGTGCAGGGCACAGCACGCCCCTTTGGCATCTCCAGCACAGCCTGCTGAGGACAAGCTAAGCCACAGGGAGGAAGAGAGTGGGCTCTCACTCGGGATCAGCAAGGGATTGGACCCTGTTGGAAATACCAGCAGCCTCCTCTGCTGCTCTCCTGTGTCGGGCACAAAAGGAGCCGGAGCTTCTGTCCCAGCAGGGCAGGGAACCAGCATTTCCAAGGGAGCTCCTTCAAAGTGGGCTTCTGCCAAAGGGCAGGAGGTGAAGTGCTGGTCAGAGATGTCCAGCATGGATCACCATGGGCCAGCCTGGGCCCAACAGCAGCCTGGGGTGGGGTGCGGTCTGTCCTGCTGTGGAGAGAGGACAGCTCAAGAGCACTCAAGTGCAAGGTGGCGTTTAGGCGTTTGAGCATCGTTTTGTGACGATGGCACAGGCACCAGGGTGGCTCCCCTCGTCCTGCCACAGAGGTGGGCAAACTGGCTCAGAGCAAGAACCAGTAAGAACCCTGGCTTCTCTTTCAAACTCAAACCTCTTTTGAGGTTCGAAAGGAGTCACCTAAAACACCTCTCCGGTACTCTCCTCATCAACAGCCCAAGAGAGTCTCATGAAAAACCCTACCAAATTTTCCACATCCTGAAGGCTCAGTGCAACTCATGAAAAAGCTCCCCTCGTGGATCCGTGTGTCTGAGCCGTGGAGAAGAGCTTTGTGGTTTGCCCACCTCTGGGCTCGGGGTGTGCCAGGGGAGCAGCACATGCACATGCAGCGAGGTAAGCAATGAGGTGGGCAGGGGAGGGACTGGGATCGGTGCCCACTGCCCTGGCGGGGTCTGCCCTGCGGTGCCGAGTGGGACAGTGAGGGCTGGGTGATGCCAGCACAGCTAACCCCATCTCTTGGCCGTGTTTGCCAACAGCTCCAGCAAGAATCTATGTCCCACTGTGAGCACAGGGGAAACCCCCGGGGGGCAGCCGTGGATTTTAGGCTGGGATGAATCATTCCTGATGGGGGGGCCACCATGGATGTGGGAGTTTGTGCAGGGGAAGGCACAGCCTCCCTCTTCTCTGTGACAGCCTGCTCTCAGGGTGGGCAGCTGCCCTCTGGCACAGGGTGCCAGTGCCTGCCCCCACGGGCAGCAGAGCAGGCGCTGGAGGCAGATCAGACTCATTTGCCATCGGCGGGGTGGGATGGCAGCTCGGCGCAGTGAGGAGCTCCAGCCCTGCTCTCTGTGGCGGAGAGCCACGCTGAGGAAATTAGGGCTGGGGTGACTGTGGGCAGCTGCGGGAGCACAGAGCCGCTGGGCAGGGCAGGCAGCGGAGGCAGGTCGGGTCCGGCAAAAGCACAGCACGGGTTGGGGTGCCAGCAGGAGCGATGGGACCAGCCTCCACAGGAGAGCTAGGGCTGCAGGGCTGGACGGAGAGAAGACACGAGGCGAGGACATGGCAGAGCCAGTAACACGAGCAGAAGCCAGGTCTTCCCAAGGACTCAGCGTGGGGGCCTGGCCGTTGCGCCTTGGGAGGGCTCTTGCTCACATGTACGATTAGGACTACCTTACTTAGTGGGATAGAAGATGCCGTGCGCACGCTGGGGCAGATCCCCAGCTGTCTGCTCACTGGGCTTCTCTAGCATCCAACCCCCTGCCCCGGTGCATCTTGTATTCCAGTAAATAGGGTGACACACAGTGTTGCTTTGGAAAGGATGGACAATATGATGCACCAATGAGGACTAAGATACTCCAGAGAGAATACCTCCTGCTTGTGCCTGGGGGTTGTTTCGTGCTCCGGCTGGCAGCAAAGAGAGGGTTAAAAGTAACCAGCAGGGTCAGTCGAGGGAACTTGTCACACACATCACAGTTAAGCTGATGGGCTGGTAGGTGCAGAAGGACCGGACCCCCCCTCCCCTCGCAGCATGTGGCTGAAATGGCCTGAGGTGTCCCACGGTTAGCCTGGGGGCCAGGGCAGGGAGCGGGTGGGCTGTGCCTGGGCAGTGGCAGGCACGAGTGTGCACTGGTATGCCTGGCCTGTCCCCATCCTTGTCCTGGAACAGGGCTGCTCGCAGGTCCAGCCCTGCCTGGAGACGAGCCTCGAGACCACCTGGAGGGTGCTGGAGAATCAGACTTGAGCCAAACCCCAGGACAGCCCCATTTTCACCAGCGAGGCCAAGAGTTGTGTCCTAAGGGTCCCACCAGCCTGGGGCAGAGATGGCAGATAAAGGGCTGCAGGGGACCGTGCCCCGAGATGACCCTTACTGCCTGCAGCCCAGCCCTGTTGCCTGTGCCCAGTCCCCTGCCTGCCCTCTTCAGGTGTGATCCAGCCTACCCCTCAACATCCACCCTCCTCTGCCCGCCTCATCTGTACCTTTAGCTCCTTGATTTTCGTTGGGGTGGTCACCTCCTCATCCTCTGTCTCGGACCGTCTCCTGCTGCCAAACTCACCATCCTCATCCCGCTTCTCGCCCTCCCCTCTGCCACAGGGATGCCGCTGGGGTCAGCCTCCAGAAGGAAGCCTAATGGCTGCTGTAACCCTGCCAAACGAGCCAAAGAGCTCACAGAGACGAGCCAAACAGCATCCCCCCTTGCTCCCGCCAGCGAACCAATCTCCCACCCCCTCCCCAATTTGGGGCATACCTCCGTCAAGGCTGCGAGACATGGTGTACCGTTTGCTGGAGGAGCGCTCGAAGAAGGGAGCCGGGCGGTCAATGAGGGCACTGGCCTGTCGTGTCTGCGCCTGCGTCCGCCCGCTGTAGCGAAACTTGGAGCCCATCACCAGGAAGCCCTTGGGGGGTGGCTCTGGGGACACCAGCCTAGGGATGAGAGAGGTGGAGTGTCATCAGCAAGCCCCAGCCATGCCCCATGGTGCTGCTCCCCATGTGTATCCACTGCTGCAGAGGCAGAAGCATGTCTGTCTCCAAGAAGGGAGGCCTGGAGAAGGTCTGGAGGTTTCCTCACCTGAAGAAGGTGTGATGCTCTATGCAGACCTTCCAGAGACGCTTGGCAGAGCGGTGGTTGGGCAGCTTGAAGCCAATGGTGCTCTCAAACTGTTCATACTTGGGTGAGACAGAGACACACTGTTACAGGCAGATCCTAGAGAACATGATGGGATGGGACCTGCCTTGCCAACGCACTCAGGTTCCCATGGCACAAGCATGACCATACCAAAAAAAGTATTCTTCAAAGCTATGCTGGAAAGGTTCATGCCCAGCCCCACTGGGTGGTGGGATCACACCCCCACACTTTTAGCTTAAGAACTTTCCTCAACTGTAAATGGCTTTTCAGTGCAAGATAAATTCCCTCAAGAAACATAAATCTTTTACAGCAAATTCTGGTGAGAGGGCATCACTCTCCATTTTAGATGCACTGTCTTTTGTCCTCCTGTCTGCTGGAAAATGTGGGTGGAAATGCATTCTCCCATCAGCACACATAAAAGTGAAAAGAGTGAAAATAAAGTTTGAAATGAACGAAAAAGCCTCCTGATGTCTTTCTGTGAAGCATGGAAGACACATCAAAAGGGGTCCTTAACCCCCCTTCCTGGGCAACCTCCCTATGCCAACAGGGTCACAGTGTCTGGCTGGTGGGGAAAGGAGCCTGGGGGTGCCCTCAGCCTGCTGAAGTCACTTTGCCAGTGCAAAATGAGAGAGCGAACAATAAAGCGCTTGCTGAAAGCCTCCGTACACCTCAGGAGATGTGGTCTCTTGGCCAGCGTGGTCATTAACTTGGGAGCCTTGGGGCAGAGGCTGGAGCCAGGTGAGGACCTCCCCATGGGGCAGCCCCAGTCCAGCCAAGCAGGCACATTGCCATACCCTGGGTCCGCACTGGCGCATGGCACCCACCTCACCCGGGCGGATCTTGATGTAGAAGTTGCTCCTCTTGTAAGAAATTTTGAGGATTTTGGGCCAGGCGAAGCGGTTGATCCTCAGCCGGTCCCTGTAGATGAGGAGACCATTGGCGCAGACACCCAGCATGATGTCAATGCCCTCTGAGTCCTGGAGGAGGCAAGAGGGACAGGAGGGGACTGCTCAGCTGCCCAGTAAGAACCAGTCTGGCCATCAGTGCTATGTTCCGTCCTCTTCGGTGCTCTGCTACTGGGGACTGGCTGACAGAGACATTGAGACTGGACCTCTGAAAGCCCTCTGGTCCAGTGCAGGGCCACCCAGAGCTGGCTGTCCAGGACCTTGGTGAAGCTTCAGCGTGGGAGGAAGGGGCTGGGCAGAGAAGTGTGTGCAGGCAGCAAGACAGGATGGGGTGGCACTGACCATTGCTCTGGCAGCCCCACGGCCCCTACCTTGGCGTGGTGCAGGTCCACCCCGTACATGGAGAGCTTCTTGGCGTTCTCCAGGAAGTGGATCTCTGCTTCCCCAGGGGTCATCCCCCTGCAGGGAGACAGAGAGGGGGACACATGGCCAAGTGCCCCACCAGGCGTGGGCCAGCTGTCTAGTGCCTTCCTCACCACCAGCCTGTCCTCTCTCAGAGCTCACCGGTAGGTCTTGTGCAACTCCATGATACGCTCCTCCAGCTCTCGTGTCTGATTGGGGGCAAAGCGGAGCTCGCTGACGTAGTTGCCCACATGCTCCTCGGTATCGTAGTCACCCAGCTCAGCCTGCACTGCATAGGAGCCCAGCAGGGCGTGCGTGACGAAGGAGCAGGGCAGGCGCCCTGTGATGATGTCCGCACGGAGCTGCAGGCACAGGTAGTATCTGCAGGAGTGGGCAGAGGGTGAGAGCAGGGCGGAGGTGCGTGACCTCCGGAGCAGACTGGGGCTCCCTGGGAAGAAGCAGCGTGCACCCCACTTTGAACTGCTCTCCATGGGGACCGTCACCTCCCACAGCCACCTTCCTAGCCCTGCACTGCATGATTTAGACATTCCACATTCAGTGGGAAGGTAGTGAGCCCACAGACACCTCCCTCAGCTGCCCATGTCCTGCCTGAGCCCTGTCCCTCCACATACTCCCAGCCCGTCCTCTGGGAGCTGCCCTAGCCACTGTACACATGGAAGGTATGGTCCTCACCTTGTGATGTCCTCTGTGAGCTGGGCAGGGTCTGGAGGATAAAACTTTACCGTGAAGGCAAAGTTCCAGGGCCCACCTAGGGAGGGGAGAGAGCAGTAAGGGCAGCACCTCCACTGACTGCACACAGGCATGCAGGAGCTCCCGGCCATCCACTAAAGGTCCCTCAACTCCCCCCAAGCCCAGCACAGGGCAGGGAGAAGGATGCTCCAGAAGCTGCTGGGAGAACTGTCATCAAGACTCCAGAATGACTTGGTTAATCCTCCCCAAAGGAGAGAAAAGCATCGCAACTTCAGCAGCCACCAGCTCAGCATGACTGCCAGTGTCACAGCAAAAGGCTCACATGTCCCAAAAGGTGACACCTTAGGCAACAGCCCTTCTGCTGCTCCAGGGAGGCAACAACCTGGGAAAAGGCACCCCAGGACCTGTCCCAGCAAGCCCCCAACTCTTCCCCCCATCCCTGTCCTCTGCTCAGGACAGGTGAGGATGGCACCCAGAGAGGGATCAGGTCTCAGCCAGCTCTCTGGTGGCAGAGATGGGGTCCTGTGCCCCCCAACCTGTCACAAGTAAGAGGAGAGGTAACAGGCAGCTGAATGAGCAACAGTATCTCTGTTCCCAGGTCAGCGGCCAAAGGCCCCTCCAGGGCAGGTGGGGAGAGGACCCACCAGAGGACAGCTACAGCCAAGCCATCTGGAGCCCCAGGGCTGGGGAAGACGGACCCTCCCCATGCACTTACTGCGGATCTGCTTCTTGATCTCCTTGGAGGGGTCCAGCCAGTTCTGCAATGAGGAGACAGCAGGTCAGGGCAGCGCCCCACCATGGAGGGGGTGGCCGCAGAGGGACCCCCCCTGTGCTCACCTTCTGGCTGTCCGAGTCGCAGAAGGTGAGGCCAAAGTAGTCCTTCTCCAGGAGGTTGAGGTGCTCACACACCATGTCGAAGAGGACCTGGCCTCGGGCATGCTTCTGTTGGAGACATGGAGGCTGATGTGAGCCGGCTCCCTTCTGCTCTTGGGAGACCCAGCAGGCACAGGCAGCACCCACTGGGTACAGGCAGGGAGCACTGGGGAGGGTCAGGGCAGGCCTGGCCCTCCACGCAACTACTAAAAGGTGCTGGGCTGCCTCTGAGAGCAGCCCTCTCACCCAGCAGCACTACTCTGGGGATGCCCAGGCAGTCCCAGGGCTGCAGGGACAGGGCACGGTTGAGCCCAGTGTGGTGCAGGCAGCAGGTCCCACGGGCCAGGGGGACCTAGTGCCCACCGGCTCATCACCTATCACACCAGGGGACAGTGATACCAAACCAGAGAGGGGTCCAGCCAGCCTAGGAACCTCCACTCCAGACCAGCAAGCTAGGAGAAATGTGCCCTAGAGCTCATGGCAGCCAGAGCTGCCCATGGGACAAGCTCCTTCCCAACGCCCTCCTTGTTGGTGGCAGTGGTGGCTGGGTCCCCAATCACAGCATGTCAAGTGAGAGCCACAAAGAGCCTGAATCACATGCAGGGTTGGAGGACACCCTCATTATCCAGTCCTCTGAGTTCCCCTGAATTTCCCTCCATTACTGGTGGCAGCAAGGTCCAACCTTGTTCATGGAGATGGAAGAACAACCCCTCCCATGTGTTTCTGCCCTATTTACAGCCTTCCAGCCTGGCAGCTCCCACCTCCCCTCTCCAAGGCACCCATTTACCAGAGCACCCTCACAGGCAGCCCAGGGCACTGAGCAGCTCAGCCCTTGGTAGCTCACTGCCCTCAGCTGCAACCCTGCGCTCCTGCTGCCTTGCAAAGCTTTTCCAGCAGTTGCAGTCACCCTTCCTGAAGTCTTCCTCCTGCTGACCCAGATTTTGAAGGCAGGGGCTCACCTGTGGCACATGCCAGGGTGTCACACTGAATGGCTTGACTCCCTTTTTTGATTTTTATTGAATTAAGCCCTAATTAAGCATGCGGGCAAGGCACAACTAATTCCCACAGGGCCTATAAGAAAGAAAGAAGAAATGCAGCACCAGCCTTTCTACACTAAACCCTCACGTCCCAGGTGGCTTATTTAGAGAGCGGCAGCTCTCTCAGAGTTGGTCCCATCCTCTGCACTGCAACACCAAAGAACTTGTCCTTACCCACTCCCGGTGAGGGGCACTGCTCTGCTCACCAAGCTGCCAGTGAGCCTGCAGCCTGGGTTTCTGCCTGCATGCTGGCTTTGCTTGGCCAGAGCTAACGGGGAGAGCCAGGAGAAGGACAACCCTGCCAGGGCTCACACAAGCCACTCCTGTGCCCTGCGAGTCCCCTGGAGTCCCTCGAGTGTTCTGCTCCTTTTCCAGGAGGGCTTTCATCTTTGTGACAACCCTTCTTCCCACAGCTTTGTGACAAGTGACAGTCAGGGCTGCTGGGGCGCAGAGATCAAAGGTACTGCTGCTTGTGTTGCGGGCCTGGGGCCAGACCCCCCACTGCCAGCTGCCTCGGGGTGCTCACTCACCCCAGGCAGGCACAGCGAGCAGGCAGCCATGCTCCTTTCCTTCATCAATCCTGTGCAGCCAAGCCCTAAGGGAGGCAGGACCTGCATACAGATGCAGGTCCACTCTGCACAGCCAGCTCCGACAGAAACCTGCCTGCCCACTCGCCAGCAGCAAGTGCAAAGGTCTTCCTGGCAAAGGTGCTGGGATTTCTGCTCCTGAACAACCTCAGCTTTTGCACTTTTAAGCAAAGTTTCCAGTCCTTAAAAATGTCCCTCCCATCAGGACGAAGCCACAGTCAGAGCAGCACTGCCGTTCCCAACCTACAGCGAGTGCTGGGGACTGAAACAGGCAGCAGGGCTCCAGGATCCTTCCACAAAAAACAGCCTCGACTCTTGATTTAATCGCACGTGTTCCCCCAGCCTGCCCTAGAAGGGAGAGGTCCCCATGCTGACAGCGGCTGAAGCAGCCCTGCAGCATCTCCCAATGCCAAGGCAGGCACTGGCAGGCACCAGTCCCCCCAGTCCCTGCCCCGGCATGGGAAATGTGCTTCCCAGCATGCGTGCACTCGTGCACACCCACGCCACACGCTTGCGACACTGCACAAATAGCGGGTGGCCCACACACCCAGAGCTGGGGGCTGGACCACCTGCCCAGGCACACCGCCCTGCCTGCACACATGAGGATGGGCACATACACCACACTCATGTACGTGTGCGCACACACGCGCGTGACGCTGCCAGGGTCTAACACACCTCCCCACGCCGTCCCTGGCCTTCGGGCTTTATGGGGAGGGACAGCAAGGGATGAGAATGGGAACAGAGAGAGGATGGGCTCAAACCCACCTGGGGCAGCTGTGAGCCTCCACACATGTCAACCTCTTCACACCAACACATGCACACACACCCTGCACCTCAGTGTGGGGGACAGCCAACACACTGGGCTCTTGAGGTGTCAGCAGGCAGGCTGGCACATGGATGTGTGATGCACATGTTGTTAGGCAGAGCTCTATCCCCCATCTATTAAGCTTCTGCTCTTTTCACTGGGCTGAAATTCCCTGCCAGGGTCCGTCTTTCCGGATTTCTTAGTTTGCAATTTCAACTTAAACAGCTATTTCTGTGGAACCTTTTCCCTCGGAGAGAGGTACTACAAAGATTTCCTTGGAAGAGCCCTGATGTCGGGGACTCACTGGGCTGGGCAGGGTCCCCGGGCTGAGACATGTCCCCTCCTTGGTGCCAGCACAGTCCCCTGAAGATAGACTCACCTCCACCTCACATTCGTACTCGGAGCCATCAAGCAGGGTCACTCTGCAGAGAGCACTCTTCACTTTCTTGGTGGTTTTCTGGGGTGACTTCTGGGTCTTGCTGGGGGTTGTTTTGTCAGAGAGCCCATCTGTCTCGCTGTAGTCCTTCTCCTCCATCTCTGTGCCCTGGAGCGGGGAGATGCACAGGGTTAACCAGCACCAGTGCCAGGACGGACAGACAGACAGCAGGGGAAAGCCCTCCAACAGCAGGCAGAAGATGGCAGGGGAGGCCAATGAACTCTTGGGACTCCACAGCCAAGCCCAGTTCCTCTACCCTACACTGCCAGCACAACCAGTGTCCTAGGAAAATGGATACCCAGGAGCCTGTGGTCAGTTCTGCACCTGAAACCTCCCTGCCCAACTGCTGGGTGCAGCAGGCAGGGCCAGGGCACCACCGTGGCTGTCACTGGGGTGCAGGCGCTGCTCACAGCCCTGCCAGGGGCAGCTCAGTCCTGAGACACAGGGCCACCCGCTTCCTCCCCCTACCCTGGCCAGCAGCCATGGCAGGGCCATTTTCAGCACAGTCAGCACTTTGGGCCACTGTACTGCTCCTTCTGCCTGTCCTGCCCGCAACGACCCATGCAGGCACCCAGGAGGCAGCCGGCAGAGCCCATCCACTGTCTTGGTTGTAGGGGGCTCCCCTCTCTGCAGCCCCCGTGCTGCAGCAAGGACACAGTGATGGGCAGCAGAGTGGTGGCACGTCCCCTTCGTCTGCTGCGCCCTCCCCTCTGCACATCTCACAGCACCCAGCCACCCTCTACTCACCGGATCCATATTTCGGGCATCAGCCTGTGCCCCAGGCTTCTCATTGGCCTCAGTGTCGCGGCCGGCGGGGTTGGCAGCTGCGGCGGTGGGGCCGTGCGCGGCCACCTCCAGCTGTTGCGCCTCCTCCTGCGCGTTCTTCACCTCCGAGCCGGGGCCCGTCTCCGTCGTCATGGCCACTGGTCACCCCGTTCTGCCACCACCACCCACAAGGAAGACAGGAGGGGTCACCTGGGTGTGTGGGGACAGAGGGGGGTGCCCGTCCCCACCCTGCTGCCACCACACACCACCCCGCTGCCAGGCACGGGCCAGGAGGTGGCTGTGCAAAGGGCTGGTGGCGGCAGCACGGGGTATCAGGATTTCATACTCCGTTGAGCCGGAGGAGAAGAGCCGGTGGTGTGGGGAGGGACCCACCATGGTCAGGGCAAAGGGCTCGCACCCCATCCCCATGCTCACAGCAGGGAGCAGGGCTAGCCGCACCCCCCAGCTCCCCCCAGCCCTGGGGCCTTCGGTACCTTCAGTAATATATTTTATGAGTGGGAGGGTTTATTCTGGGAGGAAAACCCAGGCTGTGTGTCAGCTTAAAGGCAGCACTGACACAGGAAATTGCAAACATGGACAACTCCACATATTGCATCCGGGATGGCTGTTTTTTTTCCCCTCTGGACTTCCCAGCAGCAGCAGCACGCTGGGTTCCCACGGCCAGCGTGGCCAGACCCTGTGTGGTGGCGGCAGGACAAAACCTGCCTCCAGCTCTAGCAAGATGAAAAACAAACCCGGGGTCAGCAGCAGGGGATGGGAAGGCACTTTCCATGTGGGGTGCTCAGTAACATGTTTTTGCAACCTATATGTTTTTGAAACCTTTATGCAAATGCAGCGGTGGGGCTAGCGAGTGCTCCTGGGATGGTTCACACACACACAGGTCATCGAGTGCCTTTTGTGACTGTCACCCGTCCACTGCTTGGGCTGCTCAGCCCCACCAGCCCCCCAGGGTTGTGCTCCCCAGGCTGTGTCCAGCCATACCGGACCAGCTGGGATCTGGCCACCACCACAGAGCCTGAGGGCTGTTGCTGTGGCTGCCGCCAGATGAGCCAGCTCAGAGCATCGACTCACAGTCACATCGCCCACAGAGCACTCACACGAGCAGCCCTGAGTAATGCCTGCAACACCCAAAATCTTAACTTTTTTTGAGTGTGGAAGACCATGTGGAATATTTCTGATCCCAGTTCATGTGGCCTCTGGGAGAAGCTGTCAAATCCCAGGCTTTATCCCAGCCTTGACAGCACTAATGCAGAGATGAGGTCCAGCACAGCTCTGGGCCATGGATGTGGCCACTCTGGGGCTGGAGGAGTTGCTTGGTGACATGACATCCCACTACCATCACCTTCTGTAAGTCCCAACTACCTAAACGCTGTTTTAGCGGGTATGGGAGAGCAAAAGCCCAGTCAGGATCATGACCTAAGGCAGGTGGAGAAAGACCACTTTTAGAATCACAGAACGGTTTGGGTTGGAAGGGACCTTCAAAGACCATCTAGTCCCATCCTCCTGCCATGGGTATGGACATCTTTCACTAGCCCAGATTGCTCAAAGCGCCATCCAACCTGACCTTCAACGCTTCCAGGGAAAGGGCAGCCACGCCACAGCTTCTCTGGGCAACCTGGTCCACTATACACCCTCATCATAAAATATTTCTTCCTTATGTCCAATCTAACCCTTCCTCTTTCAGCTTAGAACTGTTGCTCCTTGTCTTGTCACTACAGGCCTTGGTAAAAGGTGTTTCTCTGTCTTCCTTGTAAGCCCCCTTTAAGTACTGAAAGGCCACAATAAGGTCTCCCTGGGACCTTCTCTTCTACAGACTGAATAATCCCCCAACTCTCTCTGCCTTTCTCCACAGCCCTCTGACCATTTCTGTGGCCTCCTCTGGACCCACTCCAACAGGTCCATGTCTGTCTTGCACTGGGACCCCAGAGCTGGACACAGGGCTCCAAGTGGGGCCTCACGAGGGTGGAGCAAAGGGGAGAATCCTCTCCCTCGCCCTGCTGGCCATGCTGCCTGTGATGCCGCCCAGGACACGGTTGGCTTTCTGGGCTGTGAGCGCACGTTGCTGGCTCACATCCAATTTGTCACCCACCAGTATCCCCAAATCCTTCTCCGCTGGGCTGCGCTCAACCCATCCACCCCCAGGCTGTGCTGGCACTGGGCACTGCCCCAGCCCAGGTGCAGGACCTTGCACTTGGCCTGGTTGAACTTCACGAGGTTCACATGAGCCCACCTCTCCAGCCTGCCAAGGCCCCTCCGGATGGATCCCTTCCCTCTGGGGGGATCAACTGCACCCCTCAGCTTGGTGTCATTCGCAAACTTGCTGACTTTCTTTTACAAAGAAAACATCTCACACCACAGATCATGTCCCACCTCTGCCTTTCAGGTGTCCTCAGCACAATGGGAAGATGTGAAATCCAGAAAAACTGCTAAAACTGGCTCCAAGGGGTGGGAAGGAATGGACAGACAAGATGGAGCGAGTCAGCCTGTGCATCCTGCAGCTGGGCTCAGCCTGCCTGGGAGCAGCCCTCTCCTGTGGCCGCTGGGCAGTGACACCGCCACTGGCCCCACTGGCTGGGCAAGCACGGCACCGTCACCACAGAGGGACTTGGTTCACACCAAAACAGCCAGGATTTCACCCCCCTGCCCCAGGGTCATGCTCTCCTGGCCAGAACAGGCAGGATAACCTGCCACCAGCCCCTGGGAAACATCAGCTCAGCTTCTCTTAACAGACCCTAGTGCTCAGCAAAGGGCACGAGAAGATTTCAAAGGTCGGCAGTGGTGTATTTTTTCCACAGAGGAAGCAGGGCTGCTGTTTTTCCACTGCAAATTCAAGCAGTTGCATGCTCCCAGCTCCAATCCCTGTGTGGATCATTCCCAACCACTTCCGTTTGGACCTCAGCATGTGAATTTTTTAATCAATGTGAAATCTCTAAGATGACAACCATCACTATGGCCAAAAACAGACTGAGTTTTTCACTCAAAGTTTCTAAACTTTCTTCAAAATCATGTTTTTCCTCCACCAGGAAGCACCAATTCAGGTGCCAGCGGGGCACTGGTGCCACATCCATGTGGGTAGCGGTGCTGCGTGGGACTCCCTGCCCACAGTGGAGCTGAGCCGAGGCCGGGAGCATGGGGCCAGGGCCACCTGCAGCCCTGGCACGCGCAGCAGCCCTGGCAGTGGGGCTGGGGGCTCAGGGCTGGCTGGGCACAGAGGGTCGGCCGCAGCTCGGCAGCACCCAGCCCACCGGACCAGCAGTGGGATGCAGCCACCCTCCACTGCAACCTGCTTGCCTGTAAGGGTGCTGCAGGCCCATCGTGAGAGGAGGCCACTGCAGTCAGCATGACGACCAGCCCCCCAACCATGCCCTCTGCCAGGCTGGGGCAGTGCTCAGCACCCCGGGGTCAGGACTTGTGGGGACATGGCAGCACTCACGACGAGGCAGCTGGTACAACCTGTCCCAACCCCTTCTGCCCCCTGGGGAGCTAGATTTTTTCCTGTGGACTTTCTGACAGTGCTCAAGAGCTTCAAAAGCAGATGATGTTCATTACAGAAGCATCTCTGTGCCTTAAGCAGGAACCACCCCTGATTTGACAGTGGAAAGCACACTTTCAGGCTGCAAGAAGCCAGCCGGGTGGAGCGCCTGCCATCACACAGCACTTGCCAGATGCAAAACTCAGCTCCTGCTGCCCCACCTCACAGGACAGGCCCCAGAAGACCCTGATGTGGGGGGCCATGGGTTGAGAAAAGACAGGAGAGCCAGCATGCTGCCAAAGGGACAATTTAATCCATGTGTTAGCCACGACAAACCTTTAGAAGAGGTTTAGAACACAACTACAGCAAACTTGATTGAGATCAGTGGAAATTATGTCCTAAATAGTACCCCCAGCAGGAGCAGGACCCAATCCTGCCAGGCAGGCAGCCCACCCAGGCTGTCCCAGCCCTTCCCAGCACTCAGCCTTGCTCACACATGTTCCCTCGGGAGCAAAGCCAGGGCCAGAGCAGCTCCCGTGCTGAGGCTGGCAGCTGCCCGGGCAGCAGCTGGCAGAGGCAGGACGGAGCAGGCACCATCTCCCCAAACCCCTTCTCTGTACAGGGTACGGACTGAAGGACTCCTGCACACCCAGAGTCCCCAGTGCCACGTGCCAAGCACAATGCTGGTTTTCAGCAAGGGCTGGCTCACTTCTGCAGCTGGACCCAAATGGGCTGGGGAACGTTTTTCTTGGGGTAAATATCAGGTGAAATGGCTGGAACCCGTTGGAACTCCAGGCTAGTAAAACAGGCACGTTGGAACAGTGACTGCTAAGAAAGCCTTAACAGGATCAGAGGTAGACCTGCTCATCATGCCTATAATCTCCTCCCATCATCTCCCTGCTTGCTCCTCCTTCCCTTGGTGTTTTCTTCTTCCCCCGCTTCAAGCTGGAGTGTGGATTCACAGCTTTCCCAGACGCTCTGCCCCCGCACTTCCCCAGCATATCCCAGCTTCAGCCTCCGCAGCACTCCCCTCCCAGAGCCCTTCCTTTTGTGCCACCTCCAAACAGGGTTTTGCCCAAGTCTGCTTTCCCCTTCCCCATTCACTCCCTGTTGCTGGGCTGGTTTTCAAGGCTGAGCACTTCCCTTTGCTCCTGGGCTCTGCTTCTCCCCCTCACTCCCCGCTGAGGATGCTGCCCATCCATGATGCTTCACTTCTGGAGCATCACGGACATGGGCAGGCAGGCAGGAGTCCCATGCTGAGTGCCCAAACAGGCCTCCATGGGCTCCAGTGCAACTGGCGTGAACAGAGCTGGGCAACAACCAAGCACCCTCCTCCCTTGCAACTGTTCAGCAGCAGCTGCTGAGGGGTCCGTGGGACTGATCCTGGCAGCAAAGCCCACTGCCACGTGGCGGGACAGACGGCTACCGCAGAGACAGACTGACATGGGGAACAAGCTGGGCACAAGCAGCACCCTGCGAGGGCGGCAGTGGCTGCATGACAGGGGGTCCAGGTAATTGCTGGCCCCAAGAACAGAGGAGCTCAGAAGGGCTGCAGCACTCAGCACCCCTGCCATGGGGCAGAGGCTGAGCTGGCAGGGGACAGGCAGGATCGCAGCACAGGCAGTGCCTTGCAGCCATCCTGGAAACATAAACAGAGCCCCAGCAGCGAGTCCTAGGTATCCTCCAGAGACACATAAAAAGCGAACAAGGAAAGCAGTCCCCAAGCCCCAGCAACATGCAGCACCCATGAGCCCTGCTGTCACCCAGCCTTCACCCCTCCCAGCACTAGAGAACGTGCAAATCCCCAAACCGCTCCACAGTACAGCCCGGAGAGCTCTCCTATGCTGCTCTGCAGCAAGGCCAAAAAAAATAATCACATGAGCTGCCCTGTTTATGCTGAAGGGGGCCAGATCAGAAACGCAGGGTGTCCCCAGCTCCTGGAGACCGCACACCACTCCTCCTCATGTGGGACTGGCAGGGACAGAGGTCTGCACTGCCCTGAACTGTTCCTCAGATGGAAAAATGCCCCGTCCCCACCCCCTCCCGAGGCTCCAGGACCCACATACCACCCCAGGCTGACAGTCCCCAACGCTGGGCACCCACTGCCAGCTAAAGCCGAGAGCATCCCGCGGAGTTGCCTTCTCCATGGCAGGGCCGGCCCTACCTTGGTGCTGGCTCCCCATATCTTCAACACAGCTTGTCACTGCCAGGCTACTGCCGCGTCCGAGGCAGCGTTTTCTGCAGAGCCGCCTCTTCCCCAACCCCAACACCCCCGCGCAGTGATTGATGTGTACCGCAGCCGCAGCCGAGCTGAGAACTGGGCTGCCTTCCCATTCTGCCGCCGGGCTCCCCCCTCGCCAGGAGTTCTGTGCCCACACCGCAGCCCCTTGACGCGGCAGGAGGGTCCCACGTGGGTGCTGGTGCCAGCCCCATCCGTCCCCCATCTCCTGCAAACACCTGACTCATCCTGGGCCAGGCAGCAGGCACAGGCTGCCATCCTGCCAGGATCCTTCCCTGTGCACACACTGGCAGGGAAGGAGAGCTTAGCTCCTGTGCTGGCTGCTCAGCAAGGAGCTGGACCCACTATCCATCTTCATCCCAAATTAACCTGGCACTTTCCTGCATCACCCGCCCCATCTCTTCCACAGGCCCCAGGGCAGCAAACACTGCGTTGCCTCCAAACCACATACTCGAGCACCCCACTAGCACGAGTCAGCCTGGAGATATACCAGCAGCAAGAGCTGAACAGAGGCTCTTTCATTGCCCCCGTCCACAGCGAACTGCACAGCGTGACACCCAGCACATCCCTGTCCAAAGGGCCCGTGGCTCCTTGTCCCCCCCTTGTCCCTTGAGAGGCACAACAGCCCTGAGCAAACGCTGGAGGTAGGTACTGCCCCGCAGAGGTGCCTCATACCTGGTAACACACAGCACAAGGTGCCTGTAAAGCATAAGCGCTGACACTGCTGCAGCCGAGGGACAGATCCTGCCTTCAGCGAGCAGTGGGAATGCCCAGAGCGTGGGCAGGGGCACTGCCAGAGCAGCTGCAGGCTGGCAGCACACCTGGGCAGCCCCGGGGAGCAGACAGGGCTGGCTGTGGCTGGGCAGTCTGTAACGTCAGGCAGGTAATTCTGTGATTCTGTAATATTTATATCAAGTGTAGGCAGCCTGATGGGAGGAGCAGTGCTCAGGTAGCACTTGCCACTTTGGACACATGCTTATGAAAACTCTAGAGCACACCAAGCCATCAGGAGCCCCAGGGGAAGAATCACAGAATCATCTCAGTTGGAAAGGACCCTGAAGCTCCTCCAGTCCAACCATCAACCTCACACTGACCGTTCCCCAACTCCACCAGATCCCTCAGCACTGGGTCAGCCCGACTCTTCAACCCCTCCAGGGATGGGGACTCCCCCCCTGCCCTGGGCAGCCCATTCCAACGCCCAACAGCCCCTTCTGCAAAGAAATCTTTCCTCAGAGCCAGCCTGACCCTGCCCTAGCGCAGCTTAAGGCCATCCCCTCTTGGCCTGGCGCTGGCTCCTTGGCTCCAGAGACTCATCCCCCCTCTCTGCCCCCTCCTGGCAGGGAGCTGTAGAGGGCCATGAGGTCTCCCCTCAGCCTCCTCTTCTCCAGACTGAACCCCCCCAGTTCTCTCAGCCGCTCCCCAGCAGACCTGTGCTCCAGACTCTGCACCAGCTCCATTGCCCTTCTCTGGACATGCTCGAAGTCATTCAATGAATTCAAGAAGCACAAGCCAGGCAAAGTCTGGCGACTTTCTGGCAGACTCCAGGCACCCACCCACATGGTACAGCCACACAGAGCCTGACCATGCTGGATGCCCACTCAGACCCAACTACCCAGTTGCTCACCAGTATGAGTTCTCCAAATGGTACCCATGGGTTGGGATGGTCAAGTTTAGCCAGGTCAAGGATCACTGGGGATCACAGCTTCCCCGGCTTCCCTGGGAGCAGTACTCAGGCAGCCCCATACGCAAGAGGGTCTCAGCATCCTCAGTCGCATTTCCAGCCTTGACCCTCCTTGGCCTCACCCTGGGGAAGTTGCAGCCACAGGGGTGTGGGGCTGGGGGCCACCAGTTCTCGGCTGCTCAGCACCGCTCCCACTGTGGTCAGGGCTGAGATCACCAATCTCCCAGCACCCACATCTATCAAACCTCCTTGTCCAGAGCTGCCACATGAACAAGGAGGAGGAGACACAGAAAGCAGAGGGAAGAGTCAGCCCAGAGCAGAGAGAGGAGACAAAACACAGACAGGAAAAGGAGGGGGGAAAGGGAGAGACAGCAGCAGACAAAGATCCCAAGACCCGACTGGACGTGACACGTAATGGGAAAGACTGCATTTATCACATCCTGCACAACCCCCTGCCCAGCTCAGACAAACCTTCCCCCAGACCGGGGGAGCGCTGTCCGAAATAGGAGGGGGGACAACAGGAGCTGCCACTGCCCCATGCCCATTTGCCTCAGGGGAGTGAGCAAGCCAGCCGGGGGGGGTGGGCAATGACCATGAGACACCCCCCCTCTGATCAGCACTGAACCCTGTTTCCTGTGCTGGTTCCATGAGGTAGCCTACAGAAAACAAGAGCAGAAGAGATCATCCCTGGCAAGAAGCAATGATGCACCCAAGCAATGATGCACCCAGCCAGAGCTGCTCGGGCACCAGCGTGCCAAGGCTGGAAGGAACCCACTAGCAGGGATGGAGGTGCCTGTGGAAGCATTCTTCTTCCTGGCTCCAAACTCTGCCACTGCTGGGACCCACGGGGTGCCCAAGGCATTGGGGAGACCTGAACAGCAATGAGTTTCAAACAGGGCCCTGCTGGCACCTTGGCCCTGTGGTATCCCACTAAGGACCCCCCTGCATTGGCTCTTGAGTATCTCCATGGGTGGAGCCTCCACAACCTCCCTGGGCCGCCTGTGCCAGCGCTCGGTCACCCTCACAGTGCAAAAGTGTTTCCTGATGTTCAGAGGGACCCTCCTGGGTGCCAGTTTGTGCCCACTGGTCCTGTCCCTGGGCACCACTGAGAGGACCCTGGCTCCGTCCTCTTGGCAGAAAGCCCTGGCAGCAGCCAATGATGGCTCCCGCTGCTGGGGAAGTTGCCCCAAGGATGAGCTCCCCCACTTTTCACTCTAAAGAGTGGCACATGAACCCCACAAGGTGGCACAGACCAACTTGTGTAGCACATTTTTCCCTTTAAAAGGGAGGGGATGGCAGAGTCCTGGGAGAGCCCAAGAGACCTCCATGTGCATTTCAGCAGAGGGTTCAGGACAGCAGGAAGATGCCAGCCATGGTAGCACCCCACAGAAGAGCACCCCTCACTGCCGTGGTGTCACTGGGCTCAGCAAGGACCCAGCTAATGCCTGAGTTGTCCCATGGAGATGCGACTCATGGGCTGGGCCTGATCCTGCACCTCCTCACCCACCAAAATACCACACCAAGACCCCTCCCAGGGAAAGGACATAGCCTCTTGATTTTGAGCCTCAAAATATTTCTGATCAATTTGGTAGAAATTAACCTTGGGCTGGGGAGGGCTGACAAAGCCAACCCCTACCTGGGAAATGCTGGAAAATCCATTGAAAAACTTCATTCAAACTCACTTTTTTTTTTTTTTTTTAAAGTAGCTTTTGATGACCCCTAGCACTGGGCACATCTCTCATGTAAGGAAGGCTTAAAGAGAACAACCGTCCCCATATTCTGACATCCAGATGGAGGGCAGCTCTGGGGCGAGGGGAGGGTGCTCTGGGGCAGCTGCACTGCCAGCCCGCCCGGGAAGGGGCTGCCCAGAGCTGAAGAGCAGCCAGCACAGCTCGGGGCCAGTGGGAAGGGCTGCCCACAGCAGTGGGAGCACAGTGCCAGGCCCTGGCTCGTGGCTGGCTCTCCGGCCCACGGGGACACAATGGCTTTCCCCACTCAGGAAGGGTATGTGGGGCCAAGGGGCTGCAGGGATCAGGAGACTCACCCACTGCTTCTGCACCACCAGCCCTTTGCCTCGTGCTGGAGTGAAAGCACCTTCTCCCCTGTGCCGTGTCCCCCAGGGGTGCCCCGCCATGAGGTCCATCCTCCTGCCCCGAGCCCATACACTGGGACCATTGTGACGTAGCGCTCACCACATCAGGAAGGCAGGCAAGGAGGGGAGGGTGGCACAGCCCTGCCGCTGTCTTGCTGCCGGGCGTCCTGCACGCACCGCCAGCACCAGCCAGAGGCTGGGAGCTTGCCCAGCTCCTGGCAGGGGAAACTGAGGCACACAGAGGGGAAACTGAGACACACAGGGCTTGGTGACACAGCAGCCATGGCAATGCTCTCTCCTTGCCTCCCACTCTGGTGGGGGAAGTATTTGGGACAGGGGTCATCCTGGAACCATTCCCCCTGCCCAGAACCTGCACCCAGCTGTCAACTCAGGCCTGTCACCCCCACAAGAGGGGCACAAAGGGGTAGGCATAGGAGAAAACATGACATTATCCTCAGATTGCTAATCATTACTTGCAACCTCCACCTATCAGAAGCACCCACAGGCACCCCACGGCAGGTCACCCTGCGCAGGGACACTGTGTCTGTACCTGCCCTGCTGCCCTCCACAGCCCCAGCAGAAGGGAGGATTCGGGAGGCCAGGGGCTGCAGCACAGCACACCTGGTCCATGCCCAAAACAGTCTTTTCCCAAAACACCCCACTTGAACCTCGCATTAGCAAAACAGAGTTCAGCACCTACCTTGAAGGTTCACACAGGCTGAAGTAAGTGCTGTAGGGGCTGTTACTAGAATATTTGTGGGTTTTAACGCATCTCCCCTGTTTTCGGGATGCCTGGATCATGCTTTCTCAATGCCTAAAGACACCAGCGTAGACTTCACTCTGGTTTCTCCCCACCCAACCTTCTCCCAACTATGCCCAGGAATGGGGAGCAACAGCACCCCTGTGATTGCGCAGCTGTGAACCGCATTCCCACCAGTGGCAACAGACTGACGCAGGATCAAGACTCTAAGAAATCCCAGAGCATCACCAAATGAGACTAAATAACATAAACACATGCAGCACAGCCGCCCCTGCCACCTCGGGGTTCAACATCCCACTGATGAGCCAGGTTGGGGTCACTGACCCACTGGACAAGGCGAGGTCCGCTGGGGCAGCGCAGGCAGCCGGGGCAGGAGCGAAGCAGGGAGTAGCCTGTCTGCTGGTGAAGACCCACAGCTCCAACAAGGAGCAGGAGGGCAGGAAAGGAGGAATGCTCTCCTGTGCACAGAAATAGTCCCCCCAGTGCAGCAACTTCACAGGCTG